CTAAGACTTGTATTTTAAAATGATATACTTATAATCATTTTTATATTTATAAGAAATTATTTTTTTTCGGTGGAAATAATTGTTTTTAACATTCAGGCCCGGGCGCCTGGCTTATCGTGTTGTTTAGTATATGCTGTTTCGCAACCCGTATTATACCCGTATTTAGAGCCACGGACTAAGATAATATACTTTATGTAAACTATAAAAAAAAAATATATATATTATAAGTACACAAGGTGTGAAGAATGTTATGATGATATCATGAAATTTAAATTGTAAGGCATCCCTCCACTTATCTTGAATCATTTCGACCACTGATTATTACCCTATAGTTCGGAGAATGGTTAAAATATTCACCAAGTTACATATACACACTAAGCACCATGATGTGTATTTTAAACATTTTTTTGTCTGTTTACACAATTTTGACCAGAAGGATTGGTCTGACCGACACAACATTTAAAGATTTCTAATAGTTAATTTTGGGTAGTTGGTACTTTTAGGAAGCATCTTACAAATTTCCCAACAGTTTTAATAGTTGGAAAAAAAATGCAAAACCGGAAATATTCACGGCACACCAGTTTTTGGAAAAATCGAATTTTTATTATCATTGTAACTAAATAAATAATAATCGTTGACACTTAATATTTTCATCAAATTTCTATATAGCGCTACGATGGTTTAGTTTTAAATTTATTTTGACTTTTTTAAACCATTTAAAAAACTTGAAAATTTCATGTTTTATTGGTTTTTTTTCGTAAACTGTCAATAAATTATTTAGGTTAGAAAAAATACCTTGAAAACATATTACAAAGTTCTTCAAATTCTATACTGGTCGATGGAAAACAAATTTAGCTCTATTCCATAAAAAAAATTTGAAGTGTTAAATTTTTATGGAACTGAGTACTTCAAAGAATTTTAATTAAATTATTGTAATTATTTAGTTGTTATTATTTAAATATTAGTCCTAGTATCACTAACACGAAATATTTACTGAGTACTTATATTAGCATTTTAAAAACGTTTCATTTTTTCCTAAATATTTTAATTAAATTTGTGCCGTGTATAAGTTAGCAATTTTTAATGATTTCCAAATTTTAGTCGTTTGTAGTATGATAATATGGATTTGGAGAAATAATAACATCTATGTCTTAATTATTAAAAAATATGCTAAGTATAAAATTCAAATAATTCAAATGCAAAACCCTTCATTACCTTCATTACACTTACTGATTAAATTTTTTTGTTTGTTCATCAGGTCTTAGATATTTACTTATTTTTTTGTGAAATTAATGTCACGTAATTTTATCGATATCAATGTTACTTTTCTTATCACTTAAATATTATTAAATATTATAATTTGTCACCAACAATATAACATTATTAAATGAAATTATTTTGTTCAAATAACTAGTTTTCATACATTTAAAATACGAATAGAAAAAAAAAATTAATTAATTCGATCATATAAGAGATCATTAAAATAAATAAAATTAACACACTGCACACAAACGAAATGTTTTCGCTCTAAAACCCAAAGTCATAATCATAGTCATCACTTATTCAAGTAAAAAATTTATCCGTTTAATTCCTACCTCACTAAGAATAATGTATTAAGTAAATTACACTAAACTATATACGTACCAATCCAAATAAAAGTTTATGGTTTGTAGTTGAATGTTTGAACGCTTTGTCGTTCATAGAAAATATTTGTTTGGTCACTCGGGTTAGCTGGTTAGAACTTTTGCCCCGAAAGTGATGTTTGCGTACATACTGTGCACCATATAAAACAGAACAAGGCTAAATCAACCACGTTAAAAGTGAAACATTATTATTTGTAAGTCGTAACAAACGTAATTTTCAGTAACAAATTGCGTTTTCTGCGAGATAAATACACACATATATGTATAGTATATATTTTATAGGGGCCTGTCTACAGAGGATTGCAGACGAGGGATGAATACTCATTATTGTTCTTTTCTTTCTTGAAACCAGAATTAATACAACAGAAATTGTCGCTATTTATTACCAAGTAATATTTTGATTTATAAATTATTAATTTATATCCGTCTGAGTAAGATTACGTTTATCACATTATTTTATTTATTTTTAATGTATCGATCACGAGGGGCCGCTTTTTCGTGGTCATAGCGCGGTCGTAATGTAGACCGCCTGAGTCAATGTCTCAGTTTTAGATAAGTTACGTATACACAATGAAATAAACAAAAATTATTTTAACAATGTTTTAAATGTGCGAACAAAAAATATTATTCAAAAATAATATCTTATTTCAATACATTTTAGATAACCAAAGTATTTATGTTTCTTAACATACATATGTCTTATAAAAAATTATTTTAAATATTCTATCCTACCTAAATAAATTATCTCTTCAACGATTTTATTGACTTCGTTTAAATCTGATGATGAACTTTCAATTCGATCATTTCAAATAATATTTTTTTGATTTATTTTATCATTTTGACATGTATTAATAAAACTCACGATTATATGGTTAACTATATTCATGTTCTATTCTTTTATGTAATTATTTTACACATTTACGTAAATGTATAACATAAATCAAGACTCTTGACAGAAAAAAATGATAAAACATTATATAACATCAAATGTTGGTTTCACCAATAGCTATAATTCCAGTTTTGAGTATATACAATAAAAATTTAACATTGACGATTCATCGTTACAAATATGTAGGTTTATTTTTAAGATTTTCAAATGGTTTAAAATTTTTTTTTATTTAAAACGTTATCATGTTTGTATACAGATTCCATTTTAACAATAAAAAGTTGTAAAAATTAAAAAAAAAATCCAGGTTTTTAAAGAATCCAAAAAAACCTGCACATTTGTGTAGGATCGTTTTAAAACTGATCACTGTATGATTTTATATTCGTTTTTAATCAGGCACACGCTAACCTACACAAATGTGTGTGTTCGTCGTGAAAGGGATAAATTATAATTTCAATAGTTCATTGTTAACCTTCTTTACACACCTGAGCATATAACTCATCGATAACCAAATACATTTCAACTTAGATTATACCTAAATTACTTTACTTTCAAGTATTCGATTTTTTTGTTTTCATAATGGAAGGAAAAAAACTTTTGGTTAAACGATTATGACGGTTACAACATTTATTCTTTGCGTGGGTAGTACTTTTATGAAGAAACCTCTAAAACCATCATTTGCTAATATATTTTTGCAGTAATTATGTATATAGTAAATAGGTATATTAACAAGTAACCATCTAAGTATATAGGTTATTATACGAATTAATATTTGATAGAATATTATTATTTTAAAATTATTTTAATAATTATATTTAATTTATATAATTATAATTATTATAAAAAATATCAAATTCTTTAAATGATTTTTAAATTTCACTGAGTTAATGCACGCATTAATCAACAAATAAATCATATCTACTTGTAGAATTATGAAAAATATATGAGGTAAGCTTTTTATTTATAAAACTTTATACTTTAAACTTTCAATTTATAAATTGTTGTAAAAGTATGATTTTTATTTATCTAATAAATGTTTAATACTATTAATTATATTGTTATTGAAAATTATCTTTGTGAATAAAAAATCACTTTTGTTCATAACATGATATTTTTAAATTGTTATTATGAAAATATAAAAAATATTATTAGATTTGTATTATTATATGTTTACGGCCGTTCTCAAAGTTCTATACCGAGTGACTAGGGCATTCTACATCAATTTCATTAATCATTATTATAGAAGAAAGCAATACATACCATTTTTCTTCCTACGTGAACTTTTGATTTTTTTAAACCATGAAAAAAACAACGTTAAATTATATACAATAAATTTGATGTATGACTTATTTATTTTTAATGTTTATGAACTGTATATATATATATATATATATATGTTTTTATAATTTACTCGCTTATTAAATACCATGATTAGGTAATTGCATTAAAATATAATGTAATCGTGTTTATTATTTATATATAGTGTGTATTACACGATCAATTTATTATTGTAGATATTATTATTGTTATTATTATTATTATTATTATTATTATTATTATTATTATTATTATTTATGATTATTATTGATAGCTTTCCTATCAGATATTTTTCCAAATGAAATGGATTTTTTTTTTACATATGCTAATTAAGTTTTTTTTTTTTCAAAATTATGACTAAATACCAAATATATATTTTTCCGTAGCTAAAATTTTAATTTCAAGCAGCTATAAGCTATAAAAATTTAGTAAAATAATTAATTAATAACAATGTAAATTTGATGATACTTTTTTAAGCAACCAAACCTAGATCTGTGTGTTATTGGTATATTTGGTATTCGTTAAATGACTGCGAATTTCGGTCGTCAGAGTATTTATTGGAATCCCTACGATACAACTAATTATATGTACACTAAATATTCTAAAGTTTCCTGATTAATATTTATAGTCCTATTGCGGGACTCCAAGGGCTTGTCAATCTCGTAAAATTTATTAAAATATTTACCAAATGTGCGACACAATGATGTTTATTACTTAAAATGTAAAGTATAGTGATTAAATTTATACGTTACCGGCAAATTATTTAATCTAGAGTTCTATAAAATACTTAGGTATTCTATAGAATACCAAAAGTGAGCAGGAAAAGTATAAAATTTATATAACGACTAGGTAATCTAGAATCCTGAATCTCAAATAGGCAATATATAAAATTGATACAAATTTATATAATACTACAGTAGTGTACCTTAGTATAGAGTGCATTAGACAATTTTACTAAGTATACCAATAGTGATGAACTATTGATAACGTACATCGTTTATCGTTTGTGTTTCGAAAGAAACGACTTAACCATTACGTTTGCAATCATAGACGATCATAGATTATTCTTGTATTAATTTATTTATTTTTCAAACGTTCAATAGCTAAAATCATGACGTATACAAATTACAATAGTTATAAAAATTAAAAATAAATAAAACGGATGCGAGATAATTATTCCTTGGACCAATTAATATTACGATCGGCAGGGTCGGTAAAACACACAAGTTTCGGTACGTAGCGTTATCGGCAACATTAAAACATAAAATACACACACTGGGGGAAGGGTCCGTCGCAACGTTAAGGCGGTTAAAAGCACATTGATTGGATTAGATTCAAACGTGAGTTAGTGGATTAGCGCGATCGAATAAACGGAATAAAAAAATGCGAGGGAGAGGGGAGGAGAAACAGCGGTTCAAATTAGCGCTGAAAAGGAAACGCGGAGGAGGTACGGCTGCAGCGAATGTGATACGAGCGCCTTAGCTGTCATTATTGTCGCACACAGTGCCCTTGATCATGCGGACGACGGGCGCGCTGAGCACGCGGTAGTTGACGTCGGTCACGTCGAACTCGGCCACCCGGAACCGGAACCGTGGCATGCGATCACTGAGCACCCACAGGTTGGAGTTGGCGTCCACCTTGACGTCGGAGGGGAAGTTGAGGGCGACCGGGTCACGGGCCACCACGGCCGAGGTGTTGGTCGAGTGCCTGCCGTCCCACCGGTCCGGGTTCCAGCACCCGATCGCGTCCTGATTGACCAGCGCGTAGAACAGCGTGCCGGTGACCGGGTCCATCGCCATGGTCGCGGCCTGCATGCCGGACGGCCGGTAGCCCAAGTGCCGGTACTCGTCGTACGTGGCGGCCGCGGTCCCGTTGGACTGCAGCACGCTCGTGTCCACGCCGAACATGCGCGTGCTGGCCAGCGCGTGGAAGTACAGAGTGCGGCGGCCGTTGGCACGGCGCCGGGACAGCGCCACCCCGAACACGCCGTCCTGCCACTCGGTACGCACGCCGCCCATGTTGAACACGGTGGCCATCGGGTCGAAGAAGAAGTACGGGTGCTCCACGCGCCACGCCACGTCGTCGCGCCACCGGTATACCACCATGCCCCAGCCGATGTCCGGCAGGTATGCGTGCGCGCGGTCGCACTGGTTCGCATCCACGTCCACCGTCAGCCCCGGGAACCACGTACTGCCGTCCGACCGTCTCAGGCTAGCCCCGATCGTGTACTGCCGCACTTTCCGGTCCGTGTTCAGGTCGAATACCATCAGCTTTGGGTCGCCGTACTCCGTGCCGTTGGCCGCGTTCATGTCCACCAGCCACAGCCGGTTACACGCGTCCACCGCCATCCGGAACGTGTTGACGATCCTGCCGGCGGCCTGTTGGTTATTGGCCGGTAACCGGTTCGTCGCGTAGTTCGGGTACGGCACCAGCGGCGGCGAACGGTTTCGGTCCGAATCTGCAAAACCGGGCGTTGCACCGTTAAGACTCATTGGTTCCGCGTAGAAAGAGGGCGCGGTTCAACGTTTTTCACACAAACATTTTCCACCCTACACTCGAAACTTAATTTCTGTTGAACCATTCGATGTCAGAGTACCATAAGTTACCCGTGATAAATATAATATCACTAAAGGCAAGATCAGTAAGGAGCATAACTAGCGGTCTTCCGATTCGTGTTCTATAGAAAGACCAGTGCCGTAATTACTGTAAGGCACCGCCTGATGGGCCTTAAAATATTCGTATTGCGGTCCTCGGATTTCGCAAATTTCATATATATACATATGTGTGTATGTATAATGTATATTATCAGTGGCGTAGGAAGACTCGCTAGTGCTCGTGGCAAACTTAGAAAAAAACGCTTTTTAAACAATTAAAATTTGATGTCACGATATTTTTTTTAATCCTTTAATTTTACTAATATTTGTAAGTATACAATTTATACTTATAAGTTAATATAGTGTTAATTTTAAACTTTGAAAATTTACAATTCCCGCTGTATGGCTAGCAAATTCATCGACAATTTTTTTATATGAAATTTTTTATTTAAATGCCCTTGCACAATTTTCATAATTTCATCATTAAATTCACACACAGTGTGTACAAATAGACAACATCTACGTATTTCAAAGAGTACAATGAAAAAATTTCGGCTTGGTTGTAGAATAAAAATGTGACTTTTGCACAATTTGGTGCCCCTTTGCAATTCGCACCCCTGGCGTAGGCACAGTTCACTGTATCCTTGCTACGGCACTGTATATTATATACACCCGATTCCGCATGATTTCAAATGCAGCGTTATACTATTGTTAAAACCTGAACTGTGTGGTAATTTAATGTAATTTTCTATATTCTTAAGGTGTATTTAAGCTGATTAAGGGATTATGAAGGGTTTCTAAAATGCTTTTGTATCTTGGCCTCAAGTTTTTAGTAGCGGCACTGGCCATTACGTCTCATGGCTGATTACGTTTGTATCAGTTCATTTTACAGGTAAAAAGGGCATAATATGACTAAATCATTTTGTATATTTATTGTTATCTATTAAAATCTATTACAACTCGAAAATTAGAAGAACGAGAAAAATATAATACAAATAAAGGAAATCGTAAATCATTTATATTGATTAGTGACGTCAAATAAAAAAAATAAAACCTTTATAATATCATGATATTACCACTAACTGTTGGCAAATTATATTGGAATATTCGCATAATCTGTAATAAAATTACTGTCATAGAAACTTTGTCCTAGTCTTGATTAAAATCACATAATTCATTAAAAGGAATATTTTACAAGAAAAGACCGTAGTAAAAATAAGCGAAATTCAAATGGCGTAGCTATAGTTAACTCTTAAAAAATTAATATAAATTCAAAGAATCTTAATTCATAAATGTATCTTAAATTTGATTATAAACCATATATTTTGATTTCTTTATAATATTCAAATAAGGTGTAGAACTTTTCAAACTTTCAAATTGCTGCCTTGAAAAGTTGATTAAATCGACTAAATCTATTTCTACCTATACCAATAATAAGTTTTGTGGAGTAAACAAAATTATTTAATGCAAGTACCGAAATTTTAATGCTAAGGACATACTATGATATGTTTATTAATTTACAATGTTAATATATATTTAATCTATAATTAAAGGTACCTATTCATTTTAAAATCTCTTTCTTGCACATATATATTTTGAGTAGGAAAAGTAAAAATTATATTTTCTACTCACATTTATATTATAATAATATGACTTTTATAATTACCACTAGCTGGGGTCCGTAATTGTTGTGTTGACCTGTACATCATTTTAGGAAATCTATAAGATCTTCAAATCAGATTGAATAAAACAAGTTGGCAAAACCGATATTAATACAGAGCTTGTATTAATTGTATAGTGTAATTTATTTTCCACAGTTTGGTTATTTGTGTTAAAAAAAATCGATGTCTGAAAATACCGCTACAGTGTATTATAATATATAATTGAGTATCAATTAGTAATTTTCAGGTAAACAATAATTGTACATCGATATTTGTATAGTTTGTAGGCTATTGCATTTTATGTCTTTTAATATCTCATATTAAATGTTACATAAAACCACTAAACAAACACAATCTTATAATATGATTATTACATACATATAAACAACATGTTAACACATTTTAATTATTGCATTTGGTAAAAATGGGTATTTATAAATTGTGTACTAAGTCAGGTAAACGAACCTTTTTTAACGAATTACATTCCAGACTAACTTTGCTTTGTTTTTTTAATGGTTTCTAGTGGTTTTCGAATTGTTTTTTTAATTTTTTAACAAAAATAATAATAATAAATGAAATATTTGTCATTAACATAATATTATTTTTTTAAACTAGTTTTTAATCATTTATACTTCTCTATATATTTTCAATAAAAATACAATTAGTAGATAAAAGTTCAAGTTCATAAAGAACCACTGACGCTTGCGAATCTTTTTATTCGAAATTTAACAAATTTATTGGATTCTCCTCATCCAAAAATGTACAAATAGAAGTTTGAAAAAGTATGCAAACCGTTACTATAATATTGAAAAAAAGTAGTCTAGAAAAACGACGGATGTTTAGAAAACTAATTAGAGAAATAATACTATTTATAGAAAATAAAATAAATCATCTTTTATTCCATTCCTATTCCATATTATTTCATTTATGAAAACTTAAGTCAGTCCGTCTGGCCATTCTATCCGTCCGATTTCCTTCAACAATCATTGAAATTTACTCAACTCCCACCTTACTCAATTTATATTCAAACACGATACCTCCCAGTACATTTCTTATGTGACACATTCACTCTAGCAATTCGAAGTCTCATAGCACCTCTTCTAATGAAAGGATATTGATCGTACAGTTAAAATACTGTATATTTTTAGTAAAATTTGAAATTTTAGTTAATAGAAAAACAATCAACCGAAAAAGTTTATAAAACAATAAAAATAAATTTTTGGGAAGTAATATAGGGTGTAATATATCCCGTTTAAAATGGAATTGTCCCTTTTTTTGATCATCACGTCCCATTGTCCCGACAAACTTTGAATGGGATGCTTTTTATCTCGTTTTAATCACGTTATTGCCATATTATTTATTATAAAGTTATTAATGATTGCAAATAAAATATCTATATATGAAAAAAATATAAAACAGTTTTACTAGTATGTTTAAAATATGAAACCAAAGTTAGAAATAACAGATAATAGTTTTCGTAGAACGAGCGTTATGTCCTGATGCCGACGAACTATAAAATTACCGATTTAATAATTTAATGATAATTAAAAGAAAATATTTTATTATTTAGGTTATTTTACTAAAAAAGGTTAAAGTAAAAAGAAAATAATTGTTTATGACATGACAGTCAGAAATTCGGACTTTAACTCTCGAGATTTGGGTGCATATGTGTGAATGTATATGGATGAGGTTTTTTATTTGGGGTGGGGGGAAGTAACAGCTGTCCCGTTTTTTTATTTTCTTTATATGGTCACTCTAAAGTAGTATAGTTAGGGTTTGTTAATATAATTTTTCATAGCGCACCTTGGACAACGTAAGCGGGTTGTACATTAAAACAATTATTTTTGATTCGGGACGCATACAGGTCACATTTTTTTTTTTTTTTATGGACACATTCGGGACATTATACAGATATCTTTTTGGTACTCACTCAGGAATTGGTCGAGAAAACTCATTGGAAATAAGTGCACGTATTGAGTTGATAATAATTCGATATGGAATTAAGCGAGCGATGGACGACGTGAAGTGGAACGGTTTAATTCGTTTGTTCGAACTATCTTGAACTGTTATGATTATAAAAGGGAGCAGAAACATAGTTAGCGAACACAGTTCTTCTGCACCGTTCGTATAGTTATTACCGTTAAAACGTCATGGGAACTATTGAAAACACGGGTTGGCGTAGGAAGAATAACAAAATACATGGGTGAGATGAAACGTATAATTCGTCTGGAAACAGGTACAGCGCAAACGCTAACCAGCGCAGCACAAAGTAAATCCGTCGTGAATACATGATCGTGTGGTAGGTAAAATACAATTTAAAAAAAAAAAAAAAAAATAACGAGCGCACTGCTGCCGCGAGGACGGTCGGTCGTCTACTTGACGTCGCAGACGGTCCCCTTGATGACGTCGACGACGGGAGCGTTGAAGATCCTGAAGTTGGTGTCGTTGGCGTCCAGGCCCTGGTACAGGAACCGCGGCAGCCTGTCGGACAGCACCCACAGCGTGCCGGTCTTGTCGACCTTCAGGTCGTTGGGGAACTCGAGCGTCTGGCTGTCGGACGCGACCAGGAAGTTGGTGTCGGCCGAGTACTCGTCGGCGTTGCGGAGACTGTTCCAGCAGCCGACGCCGTCCTTGTTGATCTGCGTGTAGAACAGCGTGCCGGTGTCGGCGTCCATTGACGAGCCGCTGGCCTGCGTGTTCGGGCCCCGGGAGCCCAGCACTTTGTACTCGTAGTAGCTGTCCGATGCCACGGTGGCGTTCTGTACGATGCGCGTCGACACGGAGAACTCGCGGGTGCTGGACAGCGGGTGGAAGTACAGCGTGCGGAACCCGTCCTCGTTGACGGGCGACAGGGCCACGCCGAACACGCCGTCGGTCCACTGGAAGTTCTGGCCGCCCACGTGGAAGTTGCCGTTGAGCGGGTCGAAGTGGAAGTAATGGTGCTTGACGCGCCACGACGTGTTGGCCGCGAAGCTGTACACCACCAACCCGTAACCGCCCAGGTCGGGCACGTAGGCGAACGCGTCTTCGCACGTGTCGCGCGTCGTGTCCGCGATCACGTTGGCGAAGAACGAGTCCGGCTTCATGTCGTCCGCGCGGAACGTGTACTGCCTGATCAGCGTGTCCGTGTTCAGGTCGAACACCATCAGCTTGGGCGTCTGCACCTGGTTCGCCTCGCCCCACACGTCGTTCAGCCCGGTGTC